AAAAAAAAAAAAAAAAAAAAAAAAAAAAAGAGCTACGGAACATGTGATCCACAAGTAGAAGATGAAAAAAAAAAATTAATGTTGTTTACATGGGACAATCAAAATGAGAATAAATTTGTAATTATTTTAAATTAAAGGGTATAATGATAATTCATGCGTTTTATTTTATATCTTATCTAACAAAACAAACGTGTAACACAAAAGTTAACAAAATCTTATCTTAAACTAGTCTTTGATAACAAACATAATGTTATATCATCTCAACAGTACAATCTTGGTCCACATGATAACAATTATCTAATCTCATCCACCTTCAAATGAGCCATTACTAAATTACCGCTATAACTCATCAAATTTACCTCTGAAAAAGGTAATTGAAAACAGAGTTTTCACTCACAAATTCTCCATACTTTTCTTTCCTTTTTACCTGTAAATATCTTTGTGCCCATGTCTCCAAATTAAATCTCGAAGAACAAAATGTTGATTAAGAATTCTTTGAAGTTACGGGTATCTCGTTTAAGGTATCCAAATCCAACATCAACTCGAAGCATCCACTGGCTGGCGCAGCCTCCTTTCCCGTCGAGGACGAGAAATCACGAACCCTAGTTGGAGCTTGGTGGGGGATGTGGTGGCCGAGAAGTTGGATGAGCTGGTGGGTGTGGTGCTGGACGCGAACAGGCTGATGAGGAGCGACTTGGCCGGCGTCGTGCGTGCCACCACCGTGTACAATAAATATGTCTCTCGTCTACAGTGTTTTTGCATCATTGTTTCAATAACCATACAATATTTTTTACACTAACTGTGCGACACTTTATCACTAACTATGCAACATCGTTTTTGCATTATTGTTTCAATGACCATGCAATATTTTGGCACTAACTGTGCACACTTTATCACTAACTATGCATCATTTTTAAACTAAATTTGCAACACTTTATCGCTAACTATGCAACATATTTTGTACATCATTTTTTCAATAACTATGCAACAATTTTACACTAACTTTGCAACACTTTATCGCTAACTATGCAACATATTTTGTACATCATTGTTTCAATAACTATGCAACAATTTTACACTAACTATGCAACACTTTATCTATAACCATGCATCGATATTACACTAAAATTGCAACACTTTATATCTAGTTGCAAGGTTAGTTTTTTGTTTTGCTAGGTTATTTTTCTGTTGTTGCTAGGTTAGTTTTCTATAGTTGCTAGGTTAATTGTATATAGTTGCAAGGTTAGTTATATCTAGTTGCAATGTTAGTTATTAGTGGTTTCAAGATTAGTTCTATCTAGTTGCATGTTTAGTTGTATTTATTTGCGGTGTTAGTTGTATTTTTTGTAAGGTTAGTTGTTTTTAGTTTCAGGTTTAC